TTCTAGTTGCCTAATTGATTTTGTTTATACATGTTTATATCTCGAACATCTCGATCCATTTATCCAATCACAGACAACTTATTCAATTTGTCTAACCAGTAGATTCTCTTTTTACTTGTCTGACTATTTTAACCTATGATCAATTTATTCCACTTGTCATGAGAAATATCTTGTTTGTATAAAATATGCGCAAGATATTTAAATATCTTTTCTTATCATTGTAAAAAAAAAATTATTTTTTTTTTTTTCCATGTTTCATTTTCTTTTTATAAATATCATTATTGTACATTTTATTACATAAAAGCTTATGTCAAAACGAATTTAATCAACTTATGCTATGATTTCGAAATTATATGATTTATAGAAAATTCAGTAGTTTTTCCGAAAAAAAAGTATTTTTCCGAAAAATAAGAAGATTAAATATTTTTTACGTACTGAAAAATAACGTAGAGATAAGTGGACAGCCTGGTTGCGGTCTACGGCCATTGTTTGGATAGAAATCCACATGACCAAGTTGTTTAGACAATCCAAGGATATACGAATCAGTATGTATTACATCCACGAAGTTAGCATCGAAAGAGTTCAATCGAGAATTGAAAATGTAGAATAAAGGACCAGCAGGATCTAAAGCTATAAAAGAAACTTCGTTCGCATTTAAAGCCTTGAAAATTACAAATAAACAAATTTTACACCGCATAAAAAAAAAATTTTTCAAAAAAAAAATGCTCAACACAAGAAAAGATTACAGTAATTGTGCACTATATAAATAGTACCGATTACCTTGATCTTGATGTTATCAGTCTAAATAGTTTTTATTACTTAATTGTCGGACTCTTATCGAAAAACAAAAAAATTGCAGGTGTATATATGTAGATAGATGCATACATATGATAGCATATGCGTTACTATTCGATATATAACGATATATAACGATAGCATATCGTTTCTCTTATCTATTGCTTTCATAAATATATTGTAATTGACCGGTATTCAAAATATATTATAAAGGATTAAAAAGTTATTTTCCTGTGAATTTTGGATTTCTTCAAATACGAAAATAAAATATAAAATAATCTTTGGATGATCGAAATTATAATACAATATTACAAACGAAATTTTAGTCAATTAGCGATAAGCATTCTATATGAATACTAGCATAAGTGTGACATAATTGATATTAACATAATTGACATAATAATTGACATAAATTTATACATTTATACGTTTTAAGTTGTTACAATATTATGTTAACATACATGTTATCACTTGCATATAAACGAAGTTATATGTTATAAGTCTATATGTAGAAAAGTAACAATTTTTCTTTCAAATATCTCGAAAATTATAAGAGATAATTTCAAAGAAATTAAATTCTTACTTATGTCAAGATAATTACATTTCTATCCTATAATAAATAATTGAAGGATTAATTATTAAATTAAAAATTATTTTTCATTAAATAGTTTCTCAAAGGATGTCGAGTCAATAAACATGCTCTTATTCTGCATTTTAAGATTATTTATAATAGTTTGAAGAAGTAAAATGTTAAATAAATAACCTGTTATTCTTGGAATTTTGAATTTCGTTTTACGACCAATTTTCCCTGCAACATGTGCACCTAACGAATGTCCAATTAAATGTATCTTTTTTTCGTTCACATCACCATCTATCAATGTGTTCAAGGCATTGGCAACAATCGTGCTGAGTTGATTGATTGCCAGCACAGAAATCGGATAAAGATGTTGCGTAATATCCCGATAATCGAGTGCTAAAATATTATCTTGCGTGTTATTTAAATATGCTGCAAAAATTAAAAAAAAAAACTAAATATTTTCAAATAACATTGTATAATAATACAATATAACGAGAATAATCGTTGATCGTTTCAATAAACATACACAAAAATCGTATCGATCAAGTGTAATTATTATATTTAATTTAATTTTTATTATGTAAATAATGAAAAGAAGAAAAAACTGAAATGGAAATATTATTAAACTATCGATCGAATTTTCATTTACCATTTATTATCAGTTTCACATTGTCAGAATCGATGTTACTCGTGTAACCAGTTATATAGATTACTAAATTATTATCCTTTTGTATATAAGGTAATAATTCATCGGTATTTTTTATATTTTTATCAATATGAGAGCCGTTTCTGAACAGAACAATCATTTAAAGGTGAATTTTAAATGTAAATTGATTTTTTGTTTTGTTCAATTCATTGATTTCGCGTTGCTTGTAAATAATTTACCTGTTATACAAACGCAAGAAAACATTTTTAGTTGTGAATGTAGCATCTGTGAACAAAATATATTAATTTCAAAATTATTTAAAACTTATATTATTGTTATCTTAATACTGCTAAAAAAAAAAAGAAATAAAATTAAAAATCATGTTTACGTGAAAAATGAAATCTATTAAAAACTTACTTGTCGATAGAAAGGTGAGAAACAGTAAAAAAAAAGATAAATGAATGTTGTCCATGTTCAAGGCGAATCAAAACTTCTTATTGCTTTTATGCGATTAATTAATTTATTTAAATTCTTAAAGTTGCACTATATTTTTTTTACCTTCAATTATTAAATATTTTTAAAATTTTTGCCACAAAATTTTATATTATAATATAATATAAAATTATATAAATATATAAATTATATAAATATTAACATTAAATGAATAATTTGCAATTATGGTTATACAATTAAACTGTTTTCGCTTGCTTCTCATAAAATGATCAATTTCTTTATTTACAAGACTTAAATATCATTCTTCATCATTCTCCCATTATATAATGATATATAATCAATCTTACTTCTGACCTTGTTAAATTTATCTCAATTATTGTTTTTTTTT